CTCGGGGCAGGCACCGGCAGCAGAAACCTCTGTGCGCACAGACAGCCCCCTCCAGCCCCTCTCCCCCCAACCAGGGACGCCCAGTCCCCTCCCTTGGCGTTGAAAGACCCCGCATCAGCCTTGGAAACCACAACAGCTCTGACCTGGTTTGCACCGGATCCTCTGAAGCCAATTGCAAAAGAGAAGCAAACAGTGAGGAGGTCACGAGAAGCAAATCCCGGCAGGACCCTACGTGGCTGACCCCCGCTTTGGCTCGAGTGGAGCCAGCGATCCCCAAGCCTGGCCCCATGCTCGGTGCAGACCATTTCTCCCATGCATTCTCACCAACATTGGTGTCTCTCGGGTTCGAGCGAGGGGAGAGCGACCCGGCCACCCCAGGGAGCCGGGGTTTGGGGTTTTTGGGTTCTGCTTTCACCCTTGCCAAGACTCCATGGAAAGCCTTTCTCAGCCTCAGCTGCCCCAGCTGTGGTGCTCGCCTCTCTGGGAGGCTGCAGAGCTCAGGGGCGCAGGGAAAGGCCTCTGGGACTGCTTATATCGAAGAGAAAGAGCAAGGCATGGGTCGTGCCGTGGCTCGCCTTGGTGGCGGCGCTCTTAGAGATGCATCTAAGCAGGATCTGCTAAGGATGCAGTTGTTGGACAGGAAGAAATCAAAAGCAACGAAAGATGGACACATTTGGGCACCCGCTTCTTCATTTCTGGTTCCTGAAATGAACGGAGGATGGATGGGCATGGGTTTGGGTTTGGGAGCCGCCTGCTGTCGCGTAGGTGAAGCAAATCTTGGGTGAGAAGGTCTCAGTTTGCACAATTCCATCGCTAAATCCATCACCCTGCACCCACGGGGGGTGTTTGCTATGGGAACCAGGAGAAAACGGAGCTGGCTCCCTTCTCCACCAAGGGGGACACGGAGAAGACCCCAACCAATCTCTGCTAACGACCTCCCAGCACCATTGCCTTTTCTAACCGGGATCCCCAAGTCTCATCCATTTCAGCGATTAATCTGAGTTTTAATCACGCTGCTTCTCGTAATCCCCAAAACAAACACTACTAAATTAACCAACGCAGCTCGTTAATTGCCCGTTACGGAGCAGATGCAGTGGTTTCCTGCCCCGATACTCCAGAATAATCCAGAATCTGCCTGGGGCCGCTCGGGGCTCTGCGGGAGCCGCTTTGGGCTCAGGGGTGCTCTGGTCCCTGCGAGGGGGGAGACACCTGAAACGGAGACGGGGTACGGGATGGCAAGGGAGAACCTATGGCTACGGGCAGGGAGCTGCAGATAAAGGAGTCGTGGTACAACGCATGGGGATGCGGTGACGTGGAACACCATCCTGCCTGGATAAAGAGAGGAGAAAGGACATGGCCCCTATCGACTTCCTCACTGAGAGCCTGGCAGATGAGTCTGACGCTGAGGATGAGGAGGACATTTGCAATACAGCGAGATGAGCCAGCGTGGGCACGGCCACAGCTCCCCAGCACAGCGGCAGGGGAGGCTCTGACGTCTGTCGCAGCCGCCCGGCCACCGTCCCCTCACACCCAGCGCCCGCGATGCCCCGGACCAGAGACCACGCGACCCACGCGTCCCCTCGCACCCAGCGGGGCTTAAATCTCACACCCGAGCGGGCGCAGCCTCGCGCAGCCTCCGACCTGCGGTGGAGGAGGAGAGGGTGAGGATCTAGGGGTGGAGGTGACAACCGGTCCCTTGGGCCTTATTGCACGGGGGTCTCCAAGGAGCCACTGCTCGCTGCCGGCACTGACAGGGACCAGGTTGACGCCGCTGGTCCAGTGGGAAGCGGCTCCAACTGCCTCCTCTCATTACTCAGCTGTTCCTCACCCGAAACACAGCCAACGCCTCATCCCCTACCAAACTAGGGGCAGATGTGCTCCGAAACACAACAAAACGCCGCTTCTGGCCACCTCTTAAAACCAGCGCAGATTTCAAACCCTGCGGCAGCACCAACTGCTGCCTCACTGCGCCCTTCCATCGCGCTCCCTTCGCTACTCGCGTGTGAAGCCCCCAAATTGGTCAAGGCTTCAAATAAGGTCAGCGTTTGTTTGATTAATTGTGCTACCCTCTCACAGGTGACAACCTGACCGATTCAGCAGTAACCCTGTGCCCAGGGGCTCTCATGTGCTCGGCTGTGGTTAAACACCAGCACCTCCCTGGTTAACGCACCCCCCGAGTTCGCAGGCATGGGAATGGACCGGAGCACTCCTCAGAGGGTCCACGGGCACAGGGGAACGGTTGAAGAAACAAAACACGTGGGAAAATAATAAAGCAAAGGCCCCAAAAGGCAAGGGCGCGAGGAGGAGGAGGAGCACCCGAGCAAGCGCCAGCTCTGAGACGCAGCAGGGAGCTAGAAAAGAAAAGAGAGGAAATACCCAAAGCTCTCAGCGCGACAGCGAGCTCCAGAGGTGACATCAGGAGGGGGCAGATCGGGGGTGGAGTCCGTCTGGAGGAAATAAGAGGTGGTGTGATGGTGATAGACAGGGTGGACATGGCAAGCAGGAGCAGAGGCGGTGGTGGTGGATGAGGAGCAAGAGGTGGCGGTGGCAGCAGGTGATGGGCCGGCGCCGGGAAATTCGGAACTGAACGACTGTCCGGAGAGGCTGTGCATTCGACGGAGGGAGACTCTGCCCGCCCGGTAGTGGGCAGCTTGGCCCGACTCAGTCTGGCCCGGCGCGTAACTCTCTACCAACCTCTGAGATCCGTGGCCGTGCTGCGGGTCCACCAGGCGCTGTCGAACTGTGCCGGGCAAGGCGGGAGCTGCAACGAGACAGAGAGAGAGAGAGGGGACAAGGCTGAAGGCAGCGGATCCAGCCGACGAGGACTGCTGCCACCCGCGGCCCCGCGCTGGGGCTGTGCTGGGGTGCAGAAGCTCGGCATGCTGGGTTAACGCCCGGCCCACGAAACGCTGTGGGGACACCCCTGACGCCGGAGCTTTCTGAACACCTTATCTGACCGTCTGGCCTCAAGCAGAAACGCTGCGAGATTTCCCCCTGCGCAACCTCTCACCAGAGCTAGCACCCAGGCTGCTTTAGCAGGCACGAAGAGGTCGGCGCTGGCAGGGCAGGAACCTTTCCACCCTCACGCAGACACTGAAATGGTTCAGATGCTTCACGCCCTGGCAGCACAGCCCGAACGAGGAGCCTGCGGTGAGGGGTTCGGACACCGGCACCCACAACTGCTGAGGCGAGCTCCATGGCCACAGCCCCGCTCTGCTCCCGTGCCGGCATCGCCACACCAGCGCCGTGCCTGGAGCCTGGCACAGGAGCAACTTGTGCTTGGGAAAGCTTCTGTGAAGATGCCGAGACCTCCCGGGCTGGTGCCCGACTGCAGGGCAGAACAGCCGGGATGCGTGGCAGATGAACAGTGACTGGGGTATTAATGGAGTATTATGGGTAATATATAGGGTAATATATTGTATTTTATATATAGCACATTACTGGGTAAAATAGTATTAATAGAAGCTGAGGGGAGACCTCATCCCCTCTGCAGCTCCTAAAGGAGGGGGTAGCAAAGGGGGTCGGGCTCTGCTCCCCATAACAAGCGATGGGAGGAGAGGAAATGGTCTCAAGTTGTGCCAGGGGAGGGTGAGGTTGGATTTTGGGGGAAATTTCTTTATTTAAAGGGTTCTCAGGGCTTGGCAGGGGCTGGCCAGGGCAGTGGTGGAGTCCCCATCCCTGGAGGGGTTCAACAGATGGAGATGAGGTGCTGAGGGCCATGGTTTGGTGGTGCAGTGCTGGGTTAACGGTTGGGCTCTCTGATCTTAAAGGTCATTTCAGACCAAGTAATTCTATGGTGTTATGAGTAATGTGGTATTAATGGGGTAATAATGGGGCACTGACGGGGCATTAATGGAGCAGGGACGCCCAAAGTGGTGCCCTCTCTCCCCAGTCCGTTTCCCACCACCCTGCCGATCACAGAGATGCTCCATCTGGAAAATAACCTCCTCTAATTGCAAATGCATCTCGGTTCAGAAAAACAGCCGGGGCTGACTTCTTCAGTGCGCTGCCACCAGCTAATTAATGGCTGTTAAAGAGCGTAACGACCTTTCCGGCCACGTCATCCTCCCTGACAGGTAAGAGAGGCCGGAGAGCTCCGCTGTTTCCCTTGGCCCCTCAACCACGGACCGAGCTGGGGTTGGGGTACCCGCACCTTCCCGGGGGTCTCTGCACGCTGGTTTCCATCAGGCAGAGGATGGGAAAACTGCGGAGCCAGCGAGCACTGCCACCCCGCAGAGCAGCGGAGAGGCCGTGTTTAACGCCCTGGCTGTAATTCCACACAAGGTGCTCCTTCGTTGCAGGAGATAAGGTGTTCAGGGTTTCTCATATGCGCAAGAAATGAATGTAAAAATGGGTTAAAAGGGTGAACAGACAGGAAAGCTGAGAAGTGGAGGAGGAGGAGAGCTCCTTCGGGAATCGAAGAACCAGCAAATCACTGCTACAAAACGGGGCTGGGAAACAGGGGTGTCCTGCGGCTCAGCAGCAGCCTGGGGACCGAGGATCGCTGCCCGGCCGTATGGCAAGTGGATGAAGGAACAGGCAACAATGATTTGGGAAACTTTGCTGTTTCCACGTCCCTGGGGTCAATCCCAGTTTCTCTGCCAGGTTTGCTGCTCCTTGCACACCCACGAACTCTTGTGATTTATCAGCGTTATCACCCCACGTGTTTTACCAACGTTTGCCAAATTACCTGCTCATCATCAAATCACAGCAGGGTTTGGGTTGAAGGGACCCCAAATCCCCCAAAAATCCCCATGGGGTCACACCTCCACCAGCCCAGGCTGCTCCAGGCCCCGTCCAACCTGGCCTTGGGCACTGCCAGGGAGGGGGCACCCACAGCTTCTCTGGGCACCCTGGGCCAGGGCCTCCCCACCTCAGAGATGGAAATTGCTGCCCGAGATCCAGTTGAAATCTCCCCTCTCTCAGTCTAAAGCCGCCCCGCCAGGTCCCATCGCTCCACCCCTTGTCAAAAGTCCCTCCCCAGCTTTCCTGTCCCCTTCAGGTCCTGGAAGGTGCTCTAAGGTCTCCCCGCAGCCTTCTCTTCTCTCCTTCAGGCTGAACACCCCCAACTCTCTCAGCTGTCCCCACAGCAGAGCTGCTCCAGCCCCTCACCATCTCCGTGGCCTCCTCTGGACTCCAGCAGCTCCACGGGCTCTGATGGTGGGGGACACATCTCGAGGCAGACCCCCACCACCGCCTGCTCGTCCTCCTCCGTCCCACAACCGCCGGTGCCCAGCGGCGCTTGGCGAAGGGGCGGCTTCCAGCCAGAAACAGGAGGCTCAGCATGGGGTTGAGCGTGTTGTCCCCCACCAGGGGACAGATCAGCATCACAGGGGGCATCGCTCCATTTTTTTATGGATACTGAGGGATGAAGGGCACGGCCATGGGCGGCTGCCCCCGTCAGGGGGGATCGGGGCGCCCCTCGAGGTCACCCTCGGCCAGCAAAGCCTGCACGGGGAAGGAGGTGGGATGGGAAAGGGAACGGTGCCACCTCCTCCCGGCCTAGCCTGAGTCCCGAACCTCCACCTCAGGGGCAAAAACAAGTGGAAAAAAAACCCCTCCAGATTTCGTAACTGTAGGTTTTAACCTTTAAAAAGGTTTTTTTTTAAAAAAAATCAAAACCCAAGAGCGCATGAGAAGTACAGCGACCTGTGATTCTTCTTCATCCCACCAGACTCTTCCCGGGGGTTAGTAAAGATGCTGCTGACTCAGTGAAGAGAGGAACACTCATTAGTCTGCCGTGCCAGAAAGTTGGAAAACTTGTGGATGTATTTTAGTCCAGATGAAGGGCAGAGGGTAGAACAAAAAAGATTCAAATATAACCGAAGAGAACCAAACCAGGGTATTTCCAGAGGGACTGATCCTCCGAGGACAGAGACGAGCGGTCACTGAACCTGCGCCCGAAAAGCCAGGCTGCGTCTGGGATGGGCCAACCAGGTGGGACGGGAGAGAGAGAAATGTGATTCACCGGGAGGACCATCACGGGCAGCCAGCAACACCCGCGCTTCTGGGAGGAAGAACTGCGCCTCTCTGCTGTAGTCCACAGAGAGAAAAAGCCTTTGGGAACGGCAAAAGCTCCCTTGCTTTGGGAACGTGGGTGCTGCACGGAGATATCGAACCGCAGAGTTGGGGGGTTGGAGGGGACCTTAAAGATCACCCGGTGCAACCCGCGGGGATGGGATGGGATGGGATGGGAGTTGTGGGCTCACTGCCCGCGCCCATCGCTGCGCTGATGGGAACGGACCAGGAAAAACCGCGCTCGAGGTGACTGGAGGCACCGAGAGCTGAGGTTTGAAACGCGGGGGAGGCTGTGCCTTCGGTCCCAGGGGACCCAGACCTCCCTCCCTCGGCCACCCCAGCTCCAGCTTTAGAGTCTCCCATCAGAGCAGCTCCTGACTGGTAATCCCAGACACCCGTACGTAGGACCCCATCGTCTGACCGATGACTCCACGCATTCTGCCGATGCCCCGTTCCTCCTGCCCTAACGCCCTGCAGGCTGCCCAAATCCTCCTGCTCTGCCTCCATCGCTCCCAGCCCTGCCTCAGCACTCGCCTCCAGACCCTCACGGCACCAAACCAGAGCCCAAAGCCAGGAGGGAGGGATGGCGATGGTGCCATGGCACCAAACCAGAGCCCAAAGCCAAGAGGGAGGGATGGTGATGGCACCATGGCACCAAACCAGAGCCCAAAGCCAGGAGGGAGGGATGGCGATGGTGCCATGGCACCTCCTGCAGCCCACGCTGCCAGCCCCCGGGCTCTGCTGCTCCTCTTCCTCAGCTCCTGCTCACTTACATGGGCTTTTGGTGAAGTCCTCACTACAAAGTGACCCAAATCAGACATCACCAAGGAGACGCTGCAGCCAACGCTGTCAGCATGGGCTCAGAAAGCACAGCTGCTCCTCAGGCCTCCTGTTCTCCCGTGCAAGAGCCAGAGATAGGAAAGGTATCTGGAAAACGCATTTTTGAGAGAGGCAAGGACATCTGAATCCGCCCCTCGGATCCTGGGGTCAGGTTTGGGCCCCAAAAAGGACATTGAGGGGCTGGGGCGTGGGCAGAGAAGGGCAACAGAGCTGGGGAGGGGCTGGAGGAGCCAAAAGA